TCTCTCTCTCTCTCTCTCTCTCTCTCTCTCTCTCTCTCTCTCTCTCTCTCTCAAAATTGCAAAGTTAATAACAAAAACACAAACTGTTTTGCTTCTTTGTTTAGGAGGAAAAAAGGTTGATCAGGATAAAAAGTGTTTGGTGAGTAAAAAAAACAGTTCAAGCATAGGCAGTATAGGCTAAGGGTGCCGTCTATCTGCTTACTCAGGTTTAAGAAGGTAACTTGTTCTGTGGTTTTCTCAGCTGCTTTGTTTCAACATGAGGTGTTATATGGAGCAGAGGATGTTTCGTGATACAAGTATCATATGATGTATTCAAGATTAACTACTGGTGCTCAGTGTGTGAAAAGTTCATGTTAAAGTCTGGTTTTCAGAGTTCTACCTTCATAAAATACTGATTTTATGTTGTTTCCCCCATAATTTAGTATAATGCTCTTCAAATATCTGTAAAATGCAGAGTTTCAAGTAGATCTTTTGCAAAGACTTCTGAGGTAGAACACCCATGGACCCCCCCTAGAACTGCTTCAGTCCACAGCTGCTGGTTAACATGAACAGGTGTTCCTCATGTCAGCAGATATTGACAGGTATGAGGTAGACTTCTGGTATTCTGTTTAAAAAAGATTAAATTGCTAAGCATTTTAACTGGACAACCTGGTTTCTTGAGATAAAAAATAAAATCTAAGACTAAATTATTTAACTTAGTATGTGGATATTATGAATGTATGCAAATTGCCAATAAGATTCAGAAAATTGAACAAGGGGTGCCACCTGAAATCTTGCCTAGGCTGGTGCTGGCCCTGATTGCCAGGGTTTTAAACTAAGTCCATCTTATGTTGAAAAAAGACAGCTTTATGGTTTATTTGGGTAAACTTTAAAAATAATGTTATGCTGATTTTTCGGATTTTTTAGAGATGTTAAAGTCAGAYACTGTGTTGTGAATGTTACTACCACGTTTAATTACAGCTCAAAATCTGTTGTTTTTGTTGAGTAACATCAGTTATCTGGAGCAACCATTTAAAATTTGGTGACTCCAAAGGTTATTCACTACATCCAACAAAAAATCATTAGTGTCTGCCTTTACTTTGGCAGAAAATGATCAAGAACATTCAACTCACCCACCRTCTGTAAATTTAATTTCCTTTTGTTCTTACAGTAAGTTTATTTTCCAGCAAATGTCCCAACTGTCTTTTGAGCTGGAGAACAAGCAGAGTTTTATTACTCTGTTGCAGACTGTGGAGAAAATGAAGGGGGAAAAGAAGTACGTCCGTGCAAATGTTTGATTATAAAATAATTCTATTAATTTGACAGTGTCTAATGTGTGCTTGTGGGKGGGGGGGCTTATCTCTTAATTCAGAAACACACAGCTAGACCTGGAACAGAAAAAGCAGATGGAACTGAGGCAACAGAAGATCGTAGACAAACAGGATGAACTGAATGTGCGAGGTTATGTCTTCACAAATTCTTGTTAGAGAGCAATGAAGTCTCCAAAATGTTATGGAGTTAACACTCGAATATTCTGTCCTCCTCAGAAATTAACTTCTGTCTACAAAGAACTGAAGGACAAAGTAGTGAAAAAGAAGATTGAGAACCTCACGTTAGGAGTGAAAGACGAGGCTGGCATCATGGATGACATGATCTACGAGGCTGGCATCATGGATGACATGATCTACCAGACACAGATCCGAAAGGCTGAGATCAAGCAGATTGAGGCGGGGCACCTTCAGAATGAAGTTCAGGACAAGCTAAAAGTATATCCATCTTTATTTTTCATTCTGCCATCCCAGAAAAATACACGGCAAATGTCCTCCCTCACTGAAAACATTATCTAAACCCTCTTCTGTCACCTCCTTTACTCCCAGCTGCTGCAAACACAGCTGACAGAAGAGAAGGGAGCTCATGAAGAGGCAATGAAGTTCTTGCAAAATCGGAACAAGGTTGGTACTGCAACATTACTGCCAACATGAATTTGAGTGTTTCTAGAAACTGATACTAGTTTAACTGGAGTTTGAATGATCTGCTTAGTTTAATACTGTGTGGTGAGAAGACAAAGACCAGTTCAGTTTACAGTACCTGAAAGTTTTCACTCCCTTGGATGTAGCTTGCTTTTACWGCTGACATAAATTGGTCTTGGTCAATATAAATAGGTCTTTTTGACAAAGGAATCAAAATTTCTGCAGAGTAAAAAAAATATGCAACATAAAATAGAAGACTTTGACATTTTAAAGCAGATCAAGTGACATTAATTCACCCAGTGACTGTTCTAATTTAACTCTGAGAAAAGATTATCGAAAAGTACGAGTCAGGGCCTGAAGCCATGACATAAACCTCCCTAKGAGTTCTGTAAAGTTATCCATTATCAGAAAATGGAGGGAATATGGACTGTCRGCTAGAGCCGGCTGCTGAGTCTGCCACATGTCGACTGACAAACTAGTCAAGATTTACTCTTCACGACAGCACGATGGCTCAGTGGTTAACGCTGATGCCTCACAGCAAGAATGTCCTGAGTTTGATCCCCGGTTCTTTCTGTGTGGAGTTTATACGTTCTCCTCGTGCTTGTGTGGGCTTACTCCAGGTACTCTGGTTTGCACCACACCCCCCAAAAACATGAACAATACATTGGGCCTCATGCAAGAACATGTTCGTATTCTTATCCTAAATTTCCCTTACTTTTGTTTGTACAAAGGGTTCGTA